ATAGAATAGAATAGAATTCTTTATTGGCCAAGTGTGATTGGACACACAAGGAATTTGTCTTGGTGCAAATGCTCTCAGTGTACATAAAAGAAAAAATACATTCACCAAGAGTCAGGAATCATCAGGTACAACACTTAATGACAGTCAGAGGGTACAATAAGCCATCAAATTATACTAGGAAACAGTCCATATAAATCGTAAGGATACAAGCGACAAAGTTACAGTCATACAGTCACAAGTGGGAGGGGATGATGGGTGATAAGGAGGGATGAGAAGGTTAATAGTAATAGTAGTGCAGGCTTTGTAAATGGTTGGACAGTGTTGAGGGAATTATTTGTTTAGCAGAGTTTGGAAATGTTTAAAAATCTTTAAATAAAGTGGCTTCTAAAGGAACTCTTTGCAGGTGGGGGGAGAGGGGACCACTTTCCTGTTAGTTTTTAAATGCAAACCAAAGAGAAAACAATTTGTGCTTTGATCACAGGGAGCCAAGAGTTTTGGGTCTCGCTGCAGAGATCCCCACCTTGACACCTTTGACACATCACACAAAGGGGATGAGAAAACGCACGTTTTGTTTGTGCAATCAAGAGCAAAAGGCCTGGTGCAGAGAGAGATTTCTTGAAATTCAGTTTTGCATGGTTGAAGAGACACCACACCAGAAGAACCACAGCTAAAAATAATGCAGGCTGTACCGTTCGGGTATAAATTGGACACGGTGTTCTGTAACCACAACATTTAGCTCTGACAAAAGAGTTGAACCAGAGTTGTATTTTTGCCCACTCTCACAACTCCGGAAAATGGAGTCTTGGGGGAGTCGATTAAAGGGGGGAGCAAAGCCTCCTGCCCCCTCCCCCGATGTCAAGAAAAGGGCATGGAGGAAGAGCAGAGGTGGCTGGAGCACAGCAAGTTGGTTGAGATGCTTTCTCACAAACACTTGCACCAGACATGCAAGATCAAAGCCTCAAAATAGTTTTGCTTGCAACCTTGTTTTCCAGCAGGGGGATTCTGGGAGTTGAAGTCCTAACATCTGGCTGGAAAGGGCAGCAGTTTTGCTTGATGCCACTTCCATATATGCCTTAAGCATGACCTGGAGGTAGCCCAAAAACTACTCGTAAGTCACTTTCTCAGTGCCACTGTAACTTCAAATGGTTTTTAAACAAATGGTTGTTGTTTGGAGCCGGTGCAGTGGTTAGAATGCCGCATTGCAGGCTGACTCTGCTCACTGACCAGCTCAAGGTTGACTCAGCCTTCCATCCTTCTGAGGTTGGTACAATAAGGACCCAGACTGTTGGGGACCAGAGGCTGACTCAGAGAGGGTTGGAAAGCACTGAAAAGTGGTATATAAGTCTAAGTGCTATTGCTTATTTAACTCAAGGACGGCCTGCAATCCTGCTATTTGTTTTCAGAGAGCCCTTTATTTTAAACATATCAGTGTTTAGCTCTTCATAAGCAAAAGAAGACTTGAGTTTGCTTCCCTCTAATAATTTGGAGAGACATAATCTGCATCATTTCTCAACCTCAGCAGCTCCAAAGGTTTTATTTGAAAATAGGTGTATAACTTATCCTGCGAAAGGTTTTGTTTTTTTGAAGAGAAGCCAATAAAAAAAACTACGCCCACCGTCTAATACCTGCAACCAGGCACCGTTGCAGTGAGCGGATGCAAAGCTGTGCGTCTGGGCCCCACTTACATTTCTGTTCTTCCTCTGGAACAATGCGGTAAACCTTGTAGGGCTCCGAAATATCCAGCTGGGACCTCTCCGTCACCTCTTCAAAGTCGGGGCTTTTGTTTAAGGCACAGCGGAGTCTGGTTTTCCACGTAGCTGGTTCTGCCTTCTCTCCTTCTTTGTACTTCCCTTTGAATACCGCCCAGGCCTGCAAGGAAGGACAGGAAGACCTCTCACAAGGTGTTCTGACCTAGACCTTCCCAAGATCACGAAGCCGACTCCCCATCCCGATCAAACCCCTTTTATTTAGGTGAAAGGGAATTCCTCTCCAGCAAAGTCTTGGCAAACAGTTTTTCGTGAGATTTCACAACTACAAACCTTTATCAGGCTGGGAGAGTTGCCAGGCCGATATCTTCTAAATGCCACACTGTAGCAGCAATGACTTGGCAAGAAGTCAAGAACGGATTTTCACCCTAATGAATTGAACTAATTGTCTTCTGCAAACCCCACTCCCCTTTTGCTCCTCTTTATTCCCTATGGGAGGGGCCATTCACCGTCCACCTGTGCCCTTACTCCCAAGTTAACCCTTGTTCCTTAACCGTTCCCTTCTCCTGGCAGTTCTGCGCATGCACACACTGGGAACAGGCTCCAGCAGTTCTTCTGCCCCACTGATCTCTGACTCCGAAGGCAGCTAAAATCTGTTGGACGGCCCTGGCCCCATCTCTGCCTCTGACACAGAGCCCTTGTCAGAACCTCCCCAGACTCCAGGACTGGCCCATGTTCCTCCCCAACCTCCTCACTTTCCGAGTCTGCTGCCCACCCTGCTGACCACTGGCGGGCCACAACACAAAGAAGGACTCAACTGTTTGAGATCCTGATCTAAGAAAGGGACAAAGGAGACCCAGCTTGGTTTAGTGGTTAAGGCATCAGGCTAGAAAGCAGGAGATTGTGAGCTCCAGTCGCATCTTAGCCACAAAAAACCAGCTGGACAACTTACGTGATACTTTATTTGGCCAAGAATTAGTAGGCACACCAGGAATTTCTCTCTGGTGGCACAAAAGCCCTCAAGTGCAGGTGCAATTTTGGGGCAGCCCTTCTCCCTCAGGGCTGTGGTGTGATGAAAATAGGAAGAGGGAAGAGTTTTAGGGGTGTTCACTGCCTTGAGTTATTTGTCGAAATAATAAAGGCGGGATGCAAATAAATAAAAATAATAAAAGTGGGGCACAGATCAACAAATAAAATAAAAATAAGGAAGACCATTAGTAAGACCGTTGCACCATCCAAGTGCCTTGATGGGCTATTGGTCCTCATTTCTCATTCTTATTCTTGGGTTTCTTCTACATCTTATGAACATCAGTGTCAGCACTCATGCCCCATTGAAATATCTTGTGTGCTGTTTTAAAAATGCATGCAAGTAGCCCCTTTAAAATGTAATTTCTGCCAAGAACCATGGTGTGTTCAGCTGCTTTTTCCCACCCTGACTACTGCAAGCACTACCATCTAAATTACCCGGCTCTTCAATTCAGCACTCTGGCAATACTTAGTGACAAAATTTAAAAAAAATATTTCTCCATGGTAGTGGTGAGGAATTGGCATCTCATGTATTTAACCACCATCCAACTTCATGGGCAATTCAAAAGAGGTTCCAGAGAATCACCCAAACAGAAGTTGATCCAAAGAAAGAACCAATTTTTGCATGATGGGAAAAAAGCAGAGAGCCGTTCTAAAAAAAAATCTAAGTTGGACACTATGATTTGGATAGCAAGATGATTGGCACGCGCATCTATTTATGTATTAAACATGATTAAATGAGTGCATGAAATGGATGGGATTGAGTTTAGCAACATTCACTCAAAAAAGGGGATAGACAACTTCATATTTGAGCCACGCTACCAACAATTCAATCAAGGAATGCCCGTGGTTTCCATCAAAATACATTTTTTAATACCTTGAAAATGGATGCATCCACCTCTTGGTTGTAATCCTGTTTTCCCGCATGTTTCCACGGAATACGAAACATGGTTTTCTCCTCGTTCTCCCAGATCAAACCAGGATACAGTCCACTGTCAATTTGTTCGATCAGCCATTGTCTAAGCCGCCTTCCACCGTTTCGGTCACACACCCTGTAAGGAGAACATGTCAAGTGTTTTTCTTCCACACTTTTTCAGTCCTTTTGCAGTGGAACTCCAATATTGTCAAAGATTCGGTCTCTAATCTGGTGTTTCTCACCCATGGCTGGCTGGGGAATTCTGGGAGTTGAAGTCCACCATTCCGAAGGTTGAGAGACACTGCTCTGACCCTGTGCCCCATTTTTAATCCTCTATGAAACTGAACTGACACGTGTCAACAGGGAGGATCTCAAGAAGGAAGGTGTATATTTGCATGGTCAACCTAGATCTAGGAAATGTTTATAAGAAAAAATCTGATGGTTGTAATATAATGTAAACCATGGAATGTTTGGCCAGATAGGTTGTCCTTATGGAATGCTCTTGTACCCAAAGTCATGATCTCAACTCAAATGTCTTGTATATTAACGGACGTACAATGTACATTGATGTACATTGTAAGCTAGCTAGATAACAACATTTAAATCAATGTTGGCTCATTCTGAAAATGATCTTCTGACTCAGTTCTAGTTAGAACTTGGTTTCAGAAGCTGAAGGCTAGGAAAAAAATTGTTCCTGACGCCCGTAATAATTATTTCTGCATTTCTGCATTATCGCTTCGAAAATGTATAACAAACTCATCTGACAAATAAAGATATGGAATGGACATGTCCAGGAGAACATGAGGAGCCAACTTTGACTTGAGGGTCAACAAGAGATCCAAATTATGAACAATATTTTATAACATGTGGAGGGTTATGTCCTAGTGGAACTTTGAATGAAAGTTTTTGAAGCATTTATATCAATATTAGGGAAAGATCAACACAGGATAAAACTATATCTAAGTCTCTTCAAGTGCCATGATTTTTCTTAAAAGCAGTCACTACGAGTTTTATTGGAGGCAAGAAACAGAGATACGCCACAACTGGGAGCGGGAATGGAACCCCCAAAACTGCACAAGAGAGACGATTCCAACTGCATTTTAAGGAAGTCTCTTCACGAATGAAATGCTCAGTATAAAACTGTGTGAGAAAATGTATCAGCTGACTGCGGGGAGGAAAATTACCCAAACGATCTTTAATCAAGAACTATTAACAATTTTCCCTGAAAAAGAGCTTCCTCCTAATGTAAGAATCAAAATCCTTTTGTAGTGTTTTCTCTCTCTCTCTCTCTCTCTCTCTTTCTCTCTCTCTCCCTCCCTCCCTCCCTCCCCCTCTCTCTCTCTAAAAATGGAAATATTCAGATACCCATGGTGGATAACCTAGAACACAAAGAACGAAGGCGCATGTTTTGTGATTCTTATTACTTTATTAAAAGAGGCGAAAAGCTGCGGTGTCTGAACCCCATTTCCTAAATTGCAACCTTCCCTAGTGAGTACAGGTCAACTGTCCAACAGGATTTATCCAATGCCCTCGGTGCACTTGTGTTATGGCTAGTCCTAAACCCCAATGAGAAAGGAGGAAGACTGGGCCTCATCTGTAGCAACTGGACCCCATCAAACAGGTACCCCAACAGCTGTAGTTCCAGAAGATGGGACCACGATTGTTGGAGAACCATCACTGCCCTATGGGCTCTACAGCACCGTTAAATCTAAGTAAACAGATGCATTACAATGGAGAGACCTAGTAACAAAATAACAGAGCTGGAAGGGCCTTGGAGATCTTTTAGAGAATTTACAACCTCTGGAGGCAAGTTGCTCCACTGGTTAATTGTTCTAACTGTCAGGAAATTTCTCCTTAGTTCTAAGTTGCTTCTCTCCTTGATTAGTTTCCATCCATTGCTTCTCATCTTGCTTTCTGGTCCTATGGATAATCAGTTGACCTCCTCTTCTTTTTGGTAGTCCCCCAAATATTGGAAGACAGACATCGTATCTCCCCTAGACCTTCTTTTCACTAGACTAGACATCCCCGATTCCTGCAACCATTCTTCGTATGTTTTAGCCTCCAGTCCCCTGATCATATTTGTTGAACTTTTCTCAAGAAACTTGAGAACTGTTCTGAAGAGTCAATAATCATAGAATCTTAGGACTGGTTCAAAGATTCCTTTCCTGTTGTTGTTTTTAAGAAAACACTGCAACCCAAGAAGTAAAATGTGTGTCTAAATGAGCCTCAGAGATCCGGAATTAAAGTGTGAGTATGGGTCACACAAACGATGTTTAAATAGCAACCTGGAATATTTCGCTGCAAATTCTTGGCTAGAATTTTACGTTCTAAATTTCAGCTTTAACGGAAGGTTTCTAATTTGAGCTTCTCAAGCTGCTGCGCCATTTTTTTTTAAAACTCTGGCCACAATTTCCTTTTTAAAAGCCTGTCAAAAAAAATATCAACCACGGTCCAATGAACAATTCTACAGGAAGACCTCTCCGTGCAAGCTAATTCAGAAGTCAGTCCCCATGCAGGATGCTTAAATCCATGAGAACAGCAGCTTCTAGCATGTTCTTCAAGACCAGGAAGCAGAAATGTCCCGACTCTGCTTCTAGGCCCCATGTTCCTCAACCCCTTTCCGAGGTGTGGACTTCAACTCCCAGAAAACCCCAGCATGGGGAATTCTGGGAATTAAAATACACACCTTGGAAAGTGGTTGAGTTGAGAAACGTTTCTCTAGAGACAGATGAGGATTGCACCATCGTTTGGTCTCTCCGCCATCTGTGTCCTCCCCTTCCGTCTCTTCTCCCTCCTTCTTCTCCTTCCATTTCTCTTTCTGAAGGTCCTAGGTCAGGATGGAAAGCTACCCTGGAGACCTTCCAGATGGCCATGCCAAGGGATGACAGCTCATCTAACTTCAGTGCCAGTGGGGGTGGGGGATCCCAAATCTGGAAGAACCAACCCAAATCAAGCAAAGATGGCAACTGCAGGATCTAAAGAAAAGGCCGGGTCCAAAAAGAGCAGAGAAGATGTCCAAGGTCCTGAACATCCAGGAAACCAGGAGAAAGGAGACCTCCCTCTGGATGTGAAAGAACCCTGGATCTGAAAGCCCCTCATCTTCCCTCCGGGAGACCCCACAAGCTACCAGGCTGGCAAGACCTGCCCACCCTCCTCCAGGGAAGTCCTCTCCCCCCCACCACCCACCCCGCCTTCAGCTGACCTGCTCCACATCTGGACTGCGCCGGCTGCAGCGAAGTGGGCGCAGCTCTCCCGGGATAAGCAAAAGTGAGCCCGAAACTCGCGCTTCGGGGGAGCGCTTTTATACCCCCGGCCGAGCGGAGGAGGGTCGGCCACAAAGGCCGTTCAGCCAATGGCAAGCTAGAGCGGGAGGCAGGCTGGCCAATGGGAAAGGGAAGCATTCTTGCCACTGCGCCCGTTTCAGAGAAATCAGCCGGCGGGCGCGTCACTCGCTGCAGCCAGGTGGGATGTCTTGCCCGGCCGTGCCCGGGGCGCTGAACTTGCTCGCTCGGGGCTTCCAGGGAACTCTTGGGCGCCCACGAGGCGGAGACGGAGGAGTTGGGTGGTTGGCCAGGAGTATCTGCTTCTCCTTGTCGGAAATCTTCCCTTCCCTTCCTTCCTTTGTTCCTTCCTACTTTTCACCTCTCTTTCTCCCATCCCTCCCTCCTTTCCTCCCTCCCTCCCATACATCCTTCCTCCTTTTCTTTTTTTCTGCCTTCCTGTCTTTTTCTTCCTTCTTTCCTTTCTTTTTTTCTCCCTTTTTCTTTCCTTCCTTTTTAATCCTTCCTTTCTTTCGCGTTCCCACCTTATTCGTTTGCTTTTTATTTCTTTTCTTAATGAATAAACGGTAGAGAGGCAAGAAAGAGACTCTCAAAGAGGTGGGGGAAACGTCCAAAGCGTGAGAAAGAAAAAAAAGGTGATATGGGTGGAAACTCAGCGGTGGACGGGCAGGATGGGCTACACAGGAAGGGTGGCAATTGTGTCAATTTCTAAGGATGCCACCTCAAGGAGGGTGAGAATCATGAGGGCACAATTGCCCAGCAGCTGAACATCTATTAAAAATTTGTGAGAAACATCATTATTGGGACAAAATTGGAGGCAGTTTTCCCCTCATTCCTGGGGACTTTCTTTAAAACTGCATTTCTTCCTTCCTCACCTAAGGTTATACTACAAAGCTTACAGAACTGTTTGGCCAGTTGATAAGAAAAGTTGGTAGCCCGACACGTTTTCCTCATTTGATGTATTTATTTTTCCTCTATGGTCAGACTACAGTCCGTGCATTTCTGGACAACCTTATTATTTTAATAAATCAATAAAGTTTAGTCATGAATGTCAAACTTCTCTGAGGATGTTTGCAAAGGCTGGCCAAGGAATGTACAGTGTCTGGTGTCGATCAAATCTAAGGATCAACTGCCCCAAAATATTATTTTCCTTCCCAGGGACATGGAAGGTCTCTCTCCTCCAATTTCTCACCATCATCTGCATGTTTGATCAACCAGGTTTAACCTCCTTGTCTGGTTCCATTTCAGCCTTGGACTTCTGTTTGCAAATGAGGAGGGGGGACATGACCCCCTGGCAGTCAAATCTGCTCAGTGGGGGTTCTTGGTGCTCTCCGAGCTCGGCTGTTTTCTTAAAGACATTTCATTACCCAACACAGGAACTTCCTTAGGGCTCGAAGGGAGTGGGGTATGTGAGGAGGAGGAGGAGGAGGAGGAGGAGGAGGAGGAGGAGGAG